ACAAAATTTGTGTATAAAGGTCTTTATTATAAATTGGTTAATGAAATGTTCATTGCAATATAATAATTTGTAAAAATATTTCTATTTTGATGAGTATAATTGGTACAACAAATTTTAAATGTTGTATTAAACATAGTCAAAATTCATAATTTAAAAGACTATACATGCATTCTATATATATCTAGTATGATAATTTACAACTATTTGTCAAATATAAGAGACTTAAAATAATATTTAAATCACTAAGATATTTACACCACAAAAATAATATAAGCCCCAGAGCAGTATCAAATCGTAAACCAATACCGAAGACCAATCATATTCATCAACTCTATGCCAACTCTCTATCTCAGCCAAATCCTCTGAATCTATATCATCATTTGAAGCCAGATAACCATCGCCCAAATCAGTTCTGACCTTTGTGCCACTAACGTGCTCAAAGGTCCATCAGGTCGGTCTTCCGAGATAGTCATGGTCATGGTAGGTGAAAAGATAAGTGAGGGCTACCAAAGTTCTAACCGTACCTCTATACATATATATACATAAAGTCTGGTGTATTCTATTCTTAGGAAAATCAAATGGGATACTACAAGAAAAATTTATTTCTATCATAACAAAAACCCTAGGTTCATCTTCTACAAGTATAGCAAATTTAAAATAATTTACTCTCTGATATTCATTAAATACATAATTTAACCTAAAATGTACTGAACTATCTACTAGTCCAATTCTTTCCTGAGGTTCCGTTATCCTGATTTCCTGAAAATATCAGTAAGGATGAGCGTCTATTCTATTCTTTTATAAACATTATATCACAAAATCATAATTTATAATATACATGCAACATATCCATATTTACACTAATTCAACATAACAACATATTTAAACACACATCATTCACAATTTATCATCTTTTATTCATCATCTCATTCCAATACGCACTCCTAATGCACTGTGATCACAAATGTTGATGCCTCTAGCATTTCTTTATGTCTTACTCAATTAGGTAAATAGTCACCGATTAGCCCATTGATAAATGCTTTCTATGCTTGATCATACATTACAATTCATGAATGATAATTGAGAGTTTTAAGCTATTCATTGAGAAAATTTACTATTATTAATTTCATTTTATTCATATTTCAGAAAAAAAAAAAAGAGCTTAAAAGATATTGGGAATTAAAACATACAAAGAACCAGAGATATACATGGGCAAGTACACGCCCGTGCATATGAGCGTGTATCTCACTGGTCGCGTCAATTGAAGTGTATCATCAAAACCAGAGATGTACACGGTCAAAGTACATGGCCGTGTACTTTTCAAGAAAGCTGTGAAGTGCAATTTTTAGAGACCAGAGATGTACATGGCCAAAGTACATGGCCGTGTACTTTCCGAGAAAGTTGTGAATTGCAATTTTTAGAGTCCAGAGATGTACACGGCCAAAGTACATGGCCGTGTACTTTTAACGTGCATCAGAATTTAAATTTTTGCGAGAAGATGAGCCCTTGGACCACTCATATAAAAGGGAACTTCGCACAAAAACCTAGGGGACACGATTTTGAGGAGAAAAGAAAAGACTCAGAGACGGCTTGAGGAAGGGATCAAACACTTTTATTCATCTCTTTTGTAATTTTAGTTTGAAGATGTTTAGGTTCTAATTTTCCTTTGAGTATCTAGATTAATGAATCCTAATTGACCAAATTTTCTGAAATTCTTCTAATGTTATTTCATGTTCTTTTCTCTTGGGTTTAACTGTGTAGTATCAATTGTCTTCCATCTTGTTTTCTTGTTTGAATTTGAGTAAAATTCCTGCATGAAATTAACATTGCTCAATTAAAAGGACTTGAATGTTCTTCTAGAGATAGAAAGACATAAGTTTTCTGTATTAGGATTAACCCTAATTATGGAATTCATAATGAACTTAATGCAACCTAGGGGTATTAATTAAGAAAGAGATTCTGATTGATCAACTGAGGGTTAGGAATCATTATCCTTGAGAAAGATATTGATTTAATTCAGAATTTCCTGTAGCGATAAGGGTTTGGAACTAAGTAGTTGAAGAAGAATTTTAGTTATTTGGACACTTAGAAGGATTTATAGTCTAGATACTCGCCTTTTCCTCTTGAATACCTTTAGTCATACTTTTCTATAATTTATTATCATAAGAAATCTATTCCTTTTAATTTATTATTCTTCTATTTTTAGTAATTTTATCAACAAAAATTTATTTCTCATATTCATTAACAATTGCGTAATTAAGGAAGTAATTCTTAATAATAGTCCTTGTGGATACGATACTTGGTACTCTATTTTTCATAATATTACTCTGACAACGGGTACACCTTCCCAGTAATCGATTTTTACACACCACCCATGCACACGGATACAACATGTACAATAATCGGACCCCTTAGCAAAGGCATAGTGAGGAATCTAGTCAAGAAACAAGTGTGAGACCACGTGACCCATTCGCTCTCAGAAAGAGTGTATACACATATGTAAATGTCACTCATCATCCTACGTTTACCCTAAATTTTCATCATCTCCAGACTATATACCTCCAGTGTATCTCTGTAACTATTCACACTAGATTCCATCCATATCGACTCTTAGGTCATTCTCAAAGTTATTCTCTTCCTCATTCATAAGATCATGCTTAGTACATCACTTCTAGACTAATTATATTTCAATCCATTCCACTCATACACTTAGTGATATATTAACATCTGTTAAATCTTTTTAGGTCAATCTTATGCTTTATCATTTCATCTCATTTATACATATTCCACAAAATTACATAATAACCATCCAGCAAATTTAATCATCTTCCACATTAAATACTCATCATATATTACATACACATATATATCAACCACTTAACCCAAATAGTCCAAACAATCAAACAAGCATCTTTTCATCCATTATTCACACAAAAGATATCTCAACTATATATTCTCATAAAATATTCACATAACAGTGCTCTATGAGCATAAAATAAATACTGTAATATAATGATAAAAGAGAGCTCTCCTTACCTCAAAAATGAGTTTATAGAGAGTTGTTGAAAAGGATCAAATTTCAGGGATGGAAGTTCTCCTGAGTATTAAGAGATATCTATAAGAAAAAAAAACAGGAAAACGATTAGAGAAACTCAAGTTTAATCCGAAGAAACTTACTTGGAGTCACTTAACTTCAATATCCAAATTTGACTTTGAAGAGAAATCTGAGTTTATGAGGCTTTTATCTCGGTAAAAGAAAGAGAGAGTTCAAAGAAAGCTTGAGAGGAGAAAGACATGAGTTTGAAATAGAATGAATTTCTCATGCGAGAAATCTCTTAAATACCCCTAACCCCGCGCATTCTTACTTGAGTAAGGGATAGCTCGCTTGAGCGACAACATCTCGCTTAGGCGACTAGCATCTCGCCTGAGCAAGATATGCAGATAGTGGTCTCCACCCTCTTTGTAACGCCTCAAATTTTGATAATATTAATCATTATTGTTGATGTAGATAGATGTGTGAGTATTTATATGAAAATGAATGTTGGAATGTGCACTCGAGTGCGAAATGATGGAATGGGAATGACATTTTAATGATGCCTCGCTGTAGCGAGAGTGTCGCGATCTGAGGGGTCTTAAAAGAGGGCTTAGGGATTTGAAGGTTATTTCTCAAATCCTCTCCCTAATCCCTTCGATTCTCTCGACCCCAAACCCCTTTCCCACTGATTGATTGCCTCCAAAGACGTTCGTGAGCAAGATTGGAGCTCGAATTCGTGTGGGAAATGCTTGGAGGTGAGTTTTAATGGTTAGGTTTTCGTTTTTCCTCTCCTTTCTCTGTTTTGGGGTGATTTCGGGGGTTCTTATGAAATTAATCGTGTATGTAGGCCGAAATATGTGGGGAGAACGTTTCCAAGATTGAATCTAAGTGTGGGTCTTCAATCTGAGGTAAGGGGGACTCTGCCTTACTCTTTTTACGTGTAATTAACTGCGAAATTGATTGAATATGAAAATGTGGCTGAGTTGGAGGGTAGAAAATGTATAGGGAAGGGAAATGGTCATAGAAGGTGATGAGGGCCATGTGCCGGGGCTTGTGAATATTATGTGTGGATGAGAATATGAGTATTTGATGAAATTTGTCGTGCTTGATGATGTGTGAACACGTGTGGGCCGAGTGTCGTATAATAGAACCGAATGTGGGCTACGTGCTGTGAATTGTGACTGAATATAGGCTAGGTGTCGTATGGTATGACATGACTGTGGATAAATTGTTGTGTTATGGATACTGGTAAGCTATGTGTCATGTTGTATAAATGAATGTAGGCCTAGAGCCGTGTATTATGAATAAAGTGAGTGGGGCGGGTAATCGCCAGTATAAACGCTGAGAATGGGGCGAGTTGTCGCCGGTATAAATACTGAGAATGGGGCGAGTTGTTGCTGGTTTAAGCACTAAGGATGGGGCAAGTTGTCGCCGGTATAATGTGTTGTGAGGGGGGGCGTGCTAACGCTGGTGGAATATGTTGTGAATGTACTATCTACATGCTGAATATATTTAAATGGTTTGAAGGTGAGACTCTATGTTTGATTGTATTTGGTACTGTAGAGTATTCACCCTTACATTCATTTTTCAGGTAGTCAAGACGATCAGCACCGAACATAATGAAAGGACAGATGAACTGTGTAGGGCTTAGGATAATATTTTAAAATTTGTTGTATTTGAATTAGCCCTGTGGTAGTTGTTTGATATGATCTTGTAATCCTTCCTCATTTTTGAAATATTTTATGGAAATTTATTATTCAAATTTTGTGAAATTGTTATCTATTTGAAATTAAATTTAAGGTGTTACAATTTAGTATCAGAGCAGTTCATCTAACCGGACTGAGGTATTGGGCTGAGACGTCCATGGTTAAGTGTTGATTGTTTTGTTTGCCTGAAATGTAAATGTATTGATTGATCTGATGTGCTGGAATATGGTTTACTAAATTGTGATTTGCTTAGCTAAATCATGTCTGGTAGAGGTAGAGGATCTAGAAGCACTAACGATCCTATGGAGCGCATAGCTCAAATGCTGGAAGCCTTAGTGCATAATCAAGGCGGAGAGTCGGCTGAATACCGAGGATTGTCTGCCTTCACTAGGCATGATCCTCCGAAGTTTGAGGGAGGGTTCAACCCCGAAGGAGCCCAAAGGTGGGTGGCTGATGTAGAGAAAGTCTTTAATGCCATGGGGTGTCGTGAGGAGCACAAGGTGGCCTATGCCATTTACTTGTTGTGTGGCGAGGCAAAAGACTGGTGGAGATTTGCCGGTCAGACTTTGCCACAAGAAGGTGGCTACATCCAATGGGAAACCTTCAATGCAATCTTTCTAGGGAATTACTTTCCCTGAGATCTGAGAAAGCAGAAGGGTAGAGAGTTCCTTGAGTTGAAGCAAGGAAATATGACTGTGGGGGAGTATGCTGCGAGATTCCAAGAGCTGATGAAGTAGTGTCCTCATTTCCAGCATGGGGATGGAGAGGAAGAGTTGTGTTCTCAGTTTGAGAACGGATTGAGGCCAGACATCCGAGCCGCTGTTAGTGTGTTTCAATTGACGGACTTGCCCAGTTTGGTGAGTAAGAGCAGAATCTTTGAAGCAAACACAAGGGGGAAGACAGTGGACACTATGTGTGTGTGTGTACTGTTCCTATTAAATTGTATTGCATATACTTGGGTTATATAAAATTTCATATGTTGGATAAGACTACTAGCAAGAGTTTTGATTTGATATTAAGTGTTTATATGTGTGTTTTGATGTGAGAGTATAACATACCCTTTTCGTTGTAAAACTATCATTATTTTGCCCTATTCTTGAGAAAATAAAGAGTTTTAGGTATAGGTTTTCTCGCTTAAGCGAGGTGTACCTCGCTCAAGTGAGATAATACCTTTCCAACTGTCCTTTTGCCAAGATGAGAAGAGATCTTGCTCAGCTGGGAAGGGACCTCGCTCAGGCGAAAGGAGCTTGTTCAGATGAGGAGTCGCAAAAAAAATGGAGAGCTCTCTGGACCTAATCTCGCCCAGACAAGAATGCTGCCCACTCAAGCTAGATGCAACTCGCTCTGTCACTCGCTCAAGCGAGAATAGAAGAAACCTTCTCAAAGTTGAATTTCTTCCTGATCCAAGTGAGAACATCTGTCTCATTGATAGACGATGCCGAGTCGCTATCAAAACAACTAAGTTTCTCTAAGAATTAGGCGGTATAGAGCTTAACCTAGGTCAATTCATAAATACACATCTTCAGCTAAATTCAGTTTTAGGTTCTTTAAAAGTAATGCGAGTAAATTTTGGAGGTTTGAAAACTTCCAATTAATTAAATTAAATGACAAAAGAAATAAAATTGAGTAAAAATAAATTAAAAAATATCAACCTACAGAATACCAAATGCATGTAACTTCGATTATCACAGTATCTAAAGATTTTAATTTGAGTTTAAACGTTTATGAGACACCCCAAATTTTCCCTTATTTCATAATGATTTTGGATTATGTTAACCTTATTTAATTAGATGTAAGTAGTGCATAGAGACTTGAGAACTAAAATTTTTCTTAGTAAAATTTACTGAAACGGGTCTGATAAATAATCGGGTAATGTAAAAAGGAAATAAAATCCAAAAATTTTATTTAATACTTTTAGACTATATATAGTTTTATATGAATTATAAGAGGTCTAGAAATATCTAAAAGTAGAAAATAAATAAAATTGCAAAATTTGACTAAAATAACCAAAATACCCATACAAACATCTAGAAGCAGACCCATTTTGGACAAGCAAATAAAGGAGATAAATTCTGAAGTTTTTATGGTGGGTAGTCCATATGTAGAGGTTTTGGACATGCAAGTATAGAGCCCAAAGAGCACCTATAAAAATTACCCAAAATTATCCAAAAAGAGGCCCACAAATCAAAGTGTAAATGAAGGAAAATGGGTTAGGAATAGTAGTAAGGAGCTACGTGACCCATTACGACCCACGTGAGACTAATTATGATTAAGGGATAAGTTTAATTATGATTAATCCCAGCTGGATGAGTATATTCCACAAAAGTCAAGCTAAGTTAACAAAGTAATCATTAAAGAGATAAGGCTAATAATGAATAATTTGGGTTAATGATTGAATTAATTCCTATCCAATGGATCTAATTGAACCATGACCATGACCATTGGATCTAAACTAAATAGGTTTCAAAAATTAATTGGAATGATTAGAATGGAACTAGAAAGGTTAAAATCTAACTAGAAGTACAAAAGCCATCATGAAAGGGCAATTTGGAATTTTATAAATGTGCACATATGTAGGCTTGTGGAATAAGCCAAAAAGAGACCAAAATTGAATATCAACACTTGTGAGAGAGAGAGTGCAGCCGTGTGATACCTTGGGGGAGAGCCAACATCAATCCAAAATTTCTATTTAAAGGCATGCATATAAAAGGGAAGAACTTTCACTCATTTTTCATGCAAGCCTAAGTAATTTTCCATTCTTCTTCATCTTAATTCTCTATAAACACATTCAAGTTCATCCCAAACACTCTACCTGAATCCCACAAGGTTAGATCACCCAACACCCCACTGTTAAAGTCTTGAATTAAGCCTTTAAAACCCACCAAAAACACTAGATACCTTGCAAATCTACTAAGTTTCTAACTTTTATTCTTAGAGATCATTGTCAAGTGAGCAAGGAGGATATCAAGGGAGAAGGAAAATCATTTCCAAGAGGATAAAGGATGCAAAAAAAAAAAAAAGGGTCACCCAAAGATCAAAGCAAGATTAACCCAAAAACACCAAGTAAAGGGGAGGGTACTTTCATAATCAAGGGGAATACCTTGTTGAAATGGTTTTGAGTCAAAGGGGAGCCTTAATACTTTTGGTTATGTTAAATTTGTATGTGTTGGTGAATCCATGATTAAATGTTTGATTGAAACAAGTAAATGTATGAAAATCACTAAGACCACAAAGTGTGTTGTATTTAATGATGACTTTGCTTGCTATGTGGTTGGTTGCATTAAAATCTTGCATGTTTGATGTGTATCTATAATTTGGTGAGTTATTTCTACGGTAATTAAGTTGGATTCATGATTTTCTTTTGGATTGAAATTATTTTGGAGTCAAAATGAATTTCTAAAGTATTTTTGAAGATTTATGGAATGTTTCTAAAAGGAAATGGATTAAAAATTGGAAAGTGACCATGATGAAGACCCTTGGGCTCCTAGACATATTTGGACCTATGGACTACATGGAAAAATGATTAGAACAAACTTTGAAGAATAAATTTGAAAAATTGAACCTAAAAATGGAAAAATACCATGGACTTTGACCAAAAATACCTTGAAAATGTAAGACACTTTACCACATGTGTGGTCGGACCATGAAAATAATTTGGATCATATTTGGACATGAATTAATAACCTTGAACACATGATAGACATACTAGATAATTTGAGACTTACCAAATTTGGAGACAGTGACCTTTTTGCAATTAATATAAAATATAAGGATTAAAGTGTAAATAATGTAACATATGAGAAAATCTTTGAAAATATTTTTTTAGTATTTTATTCATGAATAGAGTTAAGTTTTGAGAATTTTCTCACTGGGCTTACTTTATTTGGATTTATATTTAATTACTTATTATTTTTATAAATTTTTGTTGCATGAAAATGGTATTATGGGAGCAATAAACTTTGACTTACTTTTGTCTTACTGTATGTTTGTAGTGTTGTTTTATTGATTTTTTTTTTTTTATGTAAATAGACTTTTAATGGAGCTATTATAACTTGTTTCACTTGATTTGGGATTGAAATAAAATAGTTATAAATTTTTGAATATTCTGTTATGCGTAAATTTTTTCCTGAGAACAACGTACTTTAAATTATTTTTGTCCTATAATTAAAGTATGATTGTATTTTATTTATATTGTTGTATGAAATTAAAATTAATAAGGAAAATATGCTCACTAAGTTTGATCAATTTAAAGTTAAAATGAATTACTTATTATTTTCTCAAGGTGTTGTTGTATGAGGGTAATGTTTTGTTCATAATACTGACAAACCTATTTTCATTGTAAAATATATAAGTGACATTATTTTATTATTATTTTTGTATAAAAATAGAGACTATAAGGAAAATATCCTCACTAGTTTGATAAATTTTTGACTTAAAATAAAATAGTTATGACTTTTCTATTTAACTGATTTTGAGAAGTATGTTACTTTGAGTGACAGAGAATGTCTAGGAATTATTCAGAAATATGGAAGCTATAAATTTGTAATTATATTTTTCTATGAAAGTAGATAATGAAGTGAAATAATATCACTGATTTAATGAGTTTTAGTGATTAATTGAATGGTTTATGATTTTTTCAATATGTTGTGTGAATTGCTATTCTCTAACATGTACTGAGTAATTAAAGCATAAATTGATGTATGTTAATATTTTTATTTTTAAAGTATTTTTACATAAAAATAGACATGTTAAGAAGAATAACCTCACTAGTTTCATGTGTTTTGGATGAGAAATGAATTTATTACCACTTTTCTAATGTGCTAGATGTTTAGTGAATTAATCTGAGAACAGCAAAGATGAATTGAGGTGTAATAAATTTTTTGAAAGTGTTTGAATTTTGATTGTAATTTTATATTACATTAGACATTTAAAGGAAGAAAACCTTGGTGATTTCATAATGTTTGGACACGTATTGAATTAGTTATGAATTTTACAATTTGTTTTATGAAATCTGAAAATTTTTTATTATTAACCACGTCCATGTGATTGATTGTTCTCTTGAAATAGAGATGTTACATGTAACATCCACATTTTCTTCTTTAAAAGTAAATAAATTTTTATAGCAAAAGGAGAAAATAAAAAAAATTTATTGTGTTATATAGATTTATGATTGGAATAAAAACAAAACTTACATTCCTCTCATGAAAATTTTATAAGATTTCAAAGTATTTAAAATTCTCAAAAGAATAATTTTGAGACTTTCAAGTAATAAATAAAACTTAAATTTACATCCAGCAAATTATTTGGTTCACATTGGATACATATAAGTTTAGAATATCACTAAGAACATTTCTAAATTATTCATTACAACAAAATTTATCCAAGTATTACAAATTCTAAAATCTGTCATTTAAAAATATTTGCAAAACTTGATCAACATAAAATATACTCTGAGTAAAAATACTAAAATTTCTCAAGATATTCTAGTTCTTATAAAGTAGTCTTCCTTCTAATCTCACTGGACTACGATCCTAGAACGGATTAATCTTCTTTATTCCCTCCTCATTTGCCTTCATGAAAATAGTTAGTAAGGGTGAGTATTTTCCGCCCCGCTAAATCTCTTATTCGACAGTAGAAA